TGCTTCTGTTGTTATAGAGTCATAAAATTATACAAAATTATAAGACATATTTTGAACATTATCTTTAAAATTCAGTATTTTGAAATTTCGAAAGTTGTTTGTAAACTGTCAAGAATTATGGATTATGAGCTAAAATTTTTTGCTATGTAAAGTAAATGTTTGTGGAAAAATGTAAAAATAAATAAATGAAAGAAAAAAATTATCATTGTTAGACAGCAATTCATAGTGCCATTGAATCTCTGTAGATCAATATGAGCTAATGGCTACATCTCTAAGCTGCAGCATGTATGTGTTATCTCAGGGATGCAGGACTCCACATCCCTATATAAATTCCCTCTGGAACATGCTTTCCAATAGCTTTATGTCATACTCCATTTTCTAGCATCTAAGATTTATAACAGTCAACAAATAGGGGAAATTCTTCTGAGAACTTTTAAAAGACCAGATAGAACCTTGTGTACCCATATCGTGCACCCAGTGTGAATATGTATTTGGGTTCTGGCCTATAAGGTAAAGAATACTTTGGAAGAGACTAGATTTACTCTCCTCTCTGGTTTTCCATGGATGGTATATGCTGTTTATGAGAAGCATTTTGCAAGACAGGAACACAGACTTTAGACTCATATATACTTGAGTTTACAGTCACTCAGCAATGCACTAACTTTGATTACTAGAGTTGGAGGCTAGATTCTCTCTGCTATGGAGAATTGTTAGAACTGTGGTTTCCCTAAGGAGTATTGGTTTTATCTTTGGTTCATGTACCACATGAATTAAATCCATCTCCCATAAATGAGAAGATCTCTGGCATCGAAGCTGTTAAAGGGGTTTCTGACAAAATGGGCAATGCATTACTTATCATCTTTTAAAGTCCTTTCTATCTTTAAAATATAAGGATGTTAAATCCCTTATAGATTGCAGAGCAATTTCTTAGAGGTTAATAGAAGTTTTTCAATATTGTTACACATGACTTACTAGTGGTGCCTCCAAGATGATCAAAGAATGAATGAACGTCAGACATTAATTTCTTCACACATTAGCAGTACTGTAATATGTCTTGATTTTAGGAATCAGATGTTTAAGAGACTTACACAACCCAAAACACTGATTTTGATTCCACATGGTACTAGATCTCATAATTAAATGATTGAAAAAGAAAAAAAAATGTTTCCTATAGGTTATTGGAACATGATATCTAGCAAACATTTGTTCAATGTGTTGGTACAATTTGAAAAAAAAAAACAACAGCAAAAAAAATCCCACCACCACCGAACTACTGTTTGCAAAATTGAAGCAAGAGATGAAGCATAGCTTTTTCTAATTGAGTTGGGCAACTAATGAACCGGTAAGAATTCAAAGCAGGTGTACCAGAGAGTGCTCAGAAGTGAAGGTAATTGAGTCAATTATAGCACTTTTGAATAAATGCAGGGCGGATTGTTATTATTTGCAGAACTCTGATTTAAAATAATCATTGTTGGCATGTCTCCCATGCTGGATATCCACTGTTTTATACTCTCCTGTAATGACTGTTTTAGCTACAGAGGAACACACAGGGATTCTTCTCTTTGCTTTTGGTCAATGTGGTTTTATCCCATGGGCAAATGAGAATCTCATTTTTTCTTAATTAATATGTAATGATAATAGCATCAAGTGGCCTTAGAAAATATACAAGTTTGACTTACTTTCATCTCACTTTCTTTCTCATGCCAGATTGTATTTTTAATGGAGTTGGCTGCAGATTATGTTAGAATTGCGAAATTGGTATCTTTGTTTTGGTTTATACTTAGGAAAGCCTTTCTGACTTGTCCTTCTCACTTATGTATTGTACTGTTTAATGGCAATTGACAATCTTATTTTTTGACAAGTAGATTTTGAATCTTTCAAAAAAAGTAACCATATCTCTTTAATTTTACAGACATACAGGTTCCAGAACCAGAATGCTTGGTCCTCAGAAATGTGCACTCTGATCTGCAAAATACAGGATGACAGCCCTGCTCACTATGCCGGTCTGCAAGCTGGTAACGAAATTTTGCTCCTGTTAGGAATAGCTTAATAGCAAGGAAAGAAATTTTTTGATAGTGAAGTTCAGATTATGATTGTGACTTTGACTATCCTTAGCTCTATTATGTTCCTAAAGTTTGGAGTTTGTTTTGTTCATCTCCCTCTCAGGCGAAATTATTTACCTAACAATGTGTCACTCATTTTTCTTGGCATCTCCCAGGTGATGTTCTTATGAATATCAATGGTGTGAGCACTGAAGGCTTTACCCACAAACAAGTGGTTGACCTGATCAGATCGTCAGGAAACCTGCTAACGTAAGTTTCCATGGGGCTTCAGAGATGTGAAAGTTTCTCAGAATGCCTGTTGATAAAATGAACAGGCTCTTTGGTCAAGGATTGCAGGAATGGAAGCGGTGTACCACAGCTTTGGGATTGGGTACAAATTGTTTTTATTAGTTCCTTTTGTTTCTTAAGGCTTCCTCAGACTCGAACATATTGTCAACATCTGAAGTCAGAGACATCAATAGCCCAGAAAATCGTGTGGGAGGGATAGCATTTAAATGTGTATTTTTTTAAATGTTAAATTCAATGAAATTGGCACATATTCTCCTTGGACCAAGAAGAACTGGTCCACATCTGTGGCTGATAGAATCTTGTTGCTAGAACAAATAAAAAGTCAGAAAAGCTTAGTTTTTTTTTTTTTTCTTATGCTACAAGATACTTGTTTTTCTCTTTGTAGTGTTCCATTTGGAAGGTAGAACAGTTTTTTCAACCCTCCCCACCCTGAAACACACATAGTCGCATCACTGATACTCTAATTTTTAAAATTTATTATTAAGTTTTTTAATACATCCAATCATTGTATATCATTATAGCTTGCAAAATGAATTTTTCTAGCTTGAATACACTGTGTGTTAGTCTATTTAACGATATTATTATGCACATTATCATCAACAGATAATTTTTCATTTTTGTGTTTCTTAAATGTTCTCTTTTTCCCCTTTATGCTCTAAATTTATTAATAGTATATTGGTCTTGGTAATTAGAGATTTGACTGACTTCTCCATGTTAATTTCTAATACTGAATAAGACCTTTTCCTTTAAGTAGTTAAAAAGATGGAATTTGCTCATTCATTATAATTACATAGAGTAAGTATGTTTCTGGCTTTGTGACAGACTTAGTGGAGACAAAGATAAAGACTCTTGGTTTAATAATTGTGAAAGGGAATGACTAAGAAAAACCTGAAAATAAGTCCTTTCTATATTTCAGTTATTGATGAATGCTATGTGGGCAGTGGGATAGAATACTGAATAAGAGGACTGATAGTTTAGCTTCACTGTTTAAACTGGTCTTTTCTGAGAAGGTGAAATTTGAGCTGAGATCTAAATGAAGTGAAGAGATGGTCATATGAACTCCTGGGAAGAGCATTTCAGCTAAAAAAAGAGAGAGATCTCTGCATTCACAAACTGAGCTTGGCAAATCTAACTGGCAGAGTAAGACCAAAGTAATTGGTAGCCATTGGATTAGAGAGGGTATAATAAGAACTGAAGACAGAGTTAGCCAGGAAGCAGACTTTGTGTCTCATCGGTCATGGCATTCAGGTTTTATCCTGATTGATGTGGGTCCTACATTATCCTACCATTCTTTACAGACACTTTATAAAGTTGACTTTATTCCTATTTATAGATGAAGTGCCTGAGGTTTAAAGAGGGCTTAGAGAAGGTCACCCAAGTACTAAGTGATTGGGTTGGGAATCAATTCCTCCTCACTCAGGATGCCAGGATCTTCTCTTCAGCTACAGCTGCTCAATATAAACAGCCAATAGAAACTCTGGCTGCTCTTCAGTGACTCTATCTGAGACTTCAAAGGATCCTCATGTGTGTGTGTGTGTGTGTGTGTGTGTGTGTGTGTGTGTGTGAGTGTGTGTGTCTGTGTGTAGTTTGGAAAGATGACTGATGGTGGTAGAGGACTGAGTCCAGCACTGTGGGTCCTATGAGTTCAGAATAGAAGATAGGGCACTCTTACTCTGGAGGAAACTGGATCCAGAAGGGAGGGACCATACAGAGTTCAAGAGAAAATGCTGGTGGTTAGTTATGAAAGCATGTTCCACATGGAGGAAGTGGACAGATCACAGATAAATAAGGGGAAGAAGAGTGGAATAATTATTGGGAATATGGAGACCAGGAAACTGGGAGATGGTTTGCACTAATACTGAAGACGATGGTGAATCAAAGCCTGTGCTGTTGCCCATACACATCTACTGTTTGGGCAGATCAGATTAACATTAAGTCTCAGGGATGCTGAATGAGTACACACTGGATGAGACTATTCATATGAAGACCGAGCATAAGTATGAGAAATCAAGAGTGGTTGATTCTGGGAGGCTGAGTAGAAAGAAGAAGAAAAAGCTTTCTGGGGGCACAGAAAATGTTCTCAGTCATAATCTTGGTCATGGTTTCATGAAGCTATACATTTGTCATGGTGCATTCAATGGCAAACACAAATCTATTTTATTGTATATAATTTATATTTCAATAAAAACAGAAAAAAATAAAAAATGAAAAACAGTTGTAATAAAACAGATTCCTAGGAATCTCCACTCTTGCCCAGAGTCAAGACTATCCTAATGAGAAAGCAGACAGTATTTTGGCTTGCTATCATCTCATTATCTTGGGTGTAAGGCTATTGGTAATAGAGAAAATTGGTCACATTTGGTGTTTTTGCTGTGTCTTAGTTACCGCTTAGTTTTCTTAAGGAATTTGAACAATACTTTTGAAATGCTCAGGTGTGTGATTCAGAAAGGAAATTTGTTACTATATTCAGATTAATGGTTTAGCAATCAAAAGGAAGGTCTTTAATTTGAGCACACAAAACAAATCAAATCACTCAGGATAGAACAAGTCTTTTATTTTTAGAGAGGTGTTTGGTGTAGGAAGAAAAGTACACTGTTAAACTGATAATTCTAGGATTAAAGTTTGTAAATGAAAGGTTTTGAGATGAAAGTGTCATATAAAGGTTATTATCTTATAGTAGTTCTGGTTCTGTTTGTTCTAGTTCCAAAATCATGATGCAATATATAGAGGCAAAGTCCTCCAGAATCTGAGGAAAGAAGTAGCATGTTGATCTCAGTGTTGTGAAAGTTCCCAGTGCCTATTTCTGTTATTGTATCCCTTGTGATTTGTGTGTTGTCTAGAGGCTGGCACATAATAGATGCCCAATAAATACCCACCAAATGATTGTGGTGATTCAGCCTCTGCCTATAAGGAGAGACTCCAGTAGAGAATAACCACCATTGTCATATTGTGGTGTCTATAAAATGAGCTCTGGTTTGCAAGTTAGCTAGGATTTTTTCTTTCAGCCACACTCTCACCGGAATTTTTTTTCCCCCTCCTTCCATTTTCTTTCTCTGCATGTTGTCAGAAGATCTGGCATAGGTCCAGATACTTGGAGTGCCATAAGAACTGTAACATTTATGTTGCATTTTTAGTATAGTCTGTGCTCAAAGTGTAGTACTCCATAAGGATGGTACTTATTTAAATGAATCACTCATGTTATTTTCCTCCTACCTACCTCCCCCTCTTTTTTTCTTTTTTTCCTTAAACAGGATAGAGACTCTTAATGGGACAATGATTCTCAAAAGATCAGAGCTTGAAGCAAAGCTGCAGGATTTAAAGGTAATTTAATTTAATACGTTGAAGCGCATTTTTTATCCTTGAATGTGTGAGTAGTAGAATAAAGATCTACTTGAAGAATGGAGATAGCCCTTGAAAAATAAATGTCATGATGAATCTAAACTGCTGAATTACCAAGAGCACACAATTACCTTTGCCAGAAAATAAAATACCATACGCAAGCCTAAATCACTTTCTTCCTTCCTCCTTCCATGTATCTATGAGGCTCAGAAAGGGAACAGGAAGGCACGTTAGCTGAAGAACATTTCATTAGAGCACCTGTGATCTCTCTTGATTTACATTTTGTTTGAAAAAAAAAACACAACAAAAAGGAGTAGCTAGCCTTTTCATCATTTTTCCACATGTTGCTTGAGTGTGTTGGTGAGTCTGGAATTTTTGCTTTTTCAGTCTTCTTTTCGTGTCCTCTTCTGTCTCATTCTTAAAACAAAGACTAGCAGTTAGTGTAATGGCTATGTCACTGGACTCCTATGTAGTCTACTGTGGTTCGAGTCCCGGATCCAGTGGCTTAAACTCACGCTGGGTGCATGTGTGTGCATGCCCAAGATCCCAAGAGGAGAATGGGGGAGTAGGGATTGTGGCGTGGCCACCCCTCCTGGAGGGATGATTTCTCATTTTCTGTCTGTCTTTCTGGCGAGTGCACGTGCCCTATAGCAAAAATCTTCAAAAAAATAAATAAAAGATAACAAAGACCATTTTTCCCCTAATCTGATGACTGTCCTTGTATCTACTTTTATCAGCAAGCACACTATTGACTTTGGAGAAAAAAAAAATATGTTTCCTAGAGACAGTATACAAAGCAGGATGTTGTGAAAAGTTCCTGGGATGGCTTTTTAAAGGGTTTTAAAAAAAAATTTCAGGGGCCAGCAGGTGGTGTGGTGGTTAAGGCACTGGATTCCCACACGGCCCATTGTGGTTCAAGTCCCGAACCTGGTGGCTTACTTTTTCACTTTCTGTCTGTCTGTCTCTGGTAAGTATATTAGCCTTATAGAAATTAAAAAAATAATAAATAATTTTTTTAAATGTCGATTTTCTGAGAGTCTTCCAAGTCATAAAATCTAAACCATTACTCTTGTGTGTTATAGTTCTGCAGACCTCCTCTGGTCCTAGTGCTCCCTGATGCATGACAGTTACCTAGCCAGTCTGAGCAGAGACGGCATGGATTGCTATAAGCATGTTCTTTCACTGATTTGTGTTCAGAACTTTCTGTCATTTATTAGTTTTCATTGGAAAGTGTGTGCTTACTAATTATTCAGCCCAAGAGGGCAAATTCACTGTACTTAGTATTCAGTCATACAAAACAATGAGACTCTGACATTTGGGGGAAAAAATGATACAAAATGGACAAATATGGAAGATCTAATGCTAAGCAAAGCAAGCCAGACTATAAAAGACAGACTTTGTCCCCACTCAATATATACTGAATGTCTGCACTCTATAGCAGAAACTGAAAGATTGGAAAGTATAATAGCAAGGAGGGCAACATAGAGAGTAGGACAGTATAGAGAGTGGAGGGTAGTTATCGGGGGTGGGTAATAGGGGAAGGGAGGAGAAGAGGGGAAAACATATTTAAATGACACAAAAAATTAAAGTTATTTGCTGATAATAACGTGCAGGATAATGTCTTTGTCTTGACTGATACGCAAGGTATTATGCTGGGAAAAAACATATTTTGTACACTGTAAAGATGTGAAGTGATTAAATGTGAATAATACATCCAAATATATATGTATATTTAAATATATATACATATATATATTTGGATTTATAGTTTTTTTAGTTGCATTTATAAAATTAATAAAATCAGTTAAAATCTTTACAGATTTTATTTTTCTCACTTTGAATATAGGACCTCAATTGTTTTATTCAGATCTTTTATGTACTTCAGAAATATTCGGAAGCTGAGCCCGGCTGCAGTGGCACAGGCAGTAGATGCCACTCTGCAGTGCTGATGGTCATGTGGAAAACCAGAGGTTCGGATCCTGTGTTGACCTGAGCAAACCAGGCATGAGCACGCATGCACTTGTGATCTTGAGTGGCTGGAAGGCTTTGGGGTGAGAATCATGGCATGACATGCCAAGGGTACCTTTCTCTTTCTTTCACTCTCTTACACCTCTCTTTTCTCTTTCTCAAGAAAGAAATAAAATAAACTTAAAAAAAATTTTTGTAGACCAGAACCATAACCTAGGTTTTAAAGGAACCAGATCCCACATAGCTGACTGTGGCTCAAATTCAAGCCCTGGTGACTTGAAAACCATGCCAAACACAGGCATATCCACACCTAAAATCATGTCAGAATGAACATATGAGATAGAAGAGATTGTAGCATGAGCACACCCCATTGGGAGGTGTTTGCTTTGTTTCCCTCTCTCTCTCTGGCTCCCTCTGGCAAGTACACATACCCCCTGGTAAATTAAAAAATATGTATATATACACACACACTTTTATATATAACTATATATATAGTGTGTGTGTATAGCAAAAGACTCTCAAAAAATAAATAAATAAAAATTTTGACTCTTTACACCAATTATTCAAGTATTTTTCTTCTCATAACATTGGCTAGGATCCTCAGTATATTGTAAACAGTGATAGTTTGTTTGATTTTTAACTTAAACTAGACTGCTTTTAACATTTTGTCATTGCATTTTTATAAAAGAGCAAACAGTGCTTTATATTGTATTTAGATTTTTAAAACTGCCACAGTTAATTTGCTTTTACAGAAAGGAAACAGTTTTAGTGAACATATTTTTTAGAACATTGAGTTAACTCATCTTTTTGTAAAAAAAAAAAAAAAAGAAGAAGAAGAAAAAAGAAGGAATATGGAAAATAAACTAGTGATGAAATAAGTGAAATAAGTGAAAAAATAAGGTTTATATTTTATAGAATAAAGGATTCATTTGCACAAAATATTATTTTTTCTATACACGTTTTACTCTTTCAATGTTTTCTCCTGAAATTTAATGAGGATACTTATTATTTTTCCAACAGTCTTTTTCAATATCTCCATCGTCTTCTGCAAGATCATAAGGATTGCTTTAAATGTCTATTTTCAACCATCTTTATTATTGCTTACTTTAGCAAATTTCATCAATTTTTTTAAAACTATAAAATAGTTTCTTTTTTTTTTTTTTTTGGAGAGGTTTTTGCTATAGGGCACGTGTGCTCGCCAGACAGAGAGACATAGAGACAGAAAGCGAGAAATCACCCCCAGGGGGATGGTCACACCATAATCCCTTCTCCTCCATTCTTCTCTAGGGATCTTGGGCACGCACGCCCACACAGCCGGCGTGAGTTTTAAGCCACCGGGTCCAGGACGTGAACCGCAGTCGACTACGTGGGAGTACAGCGACATAGCCATTACGTTAACTGCTGGTCCCAAAATAGTTTTATTTTAAATAGCTGACAGTGAACAAATATATTCGTTCAAATGATATGCTTGCTTCTTTTTCTCACTGTACTCCATACCTCTGGATTTACTTCTTGTTATAGTACTTGATTTAATAAAGATAAGTAGATCTGTGTTGAAAAATGTCTTTACTGGTACTGTTGATAGAGAGTTTTGCTAGGTAATTAAATTATTCTAAATGTATGTTTTGTTCCTTTACTGCTTTAACTAAATTTCTTCTTTGAAATTTTTTTTTGAGAGAGCTTTTAATTATCTTTTGTAGGTACTCTACATTCCCTCTGTTTTTTTCCCTCCATTTTCTTTTAAAAGGTTAAAAGTTTTTCTTTTTATATTTAAGTCTTAATTCATCCAGAATTAATTTTTGAATGTAGGATGAAATATGGAAGAAATTTTCCTTTTTTTAATAAATGTGTGTCTGGTCTCCTAGTACTAGTTATTTTGTAGTCATACTTTTCCCTCTAACTGATTTGTAGTAAGATTTTATATATATGTGTGTGTGTGTGTGTATAGCAAAAGACTATTTTCTTAAGTTTATTTTATTTCTTTCTTGAGAAAGAGAAAGAGAGGTGTAAGAGAGTGAAAGAAAGAGAAAGGTACCCTTGGCATGTCATGCCATGATTCTCACCCCAAAGCCTTCCAGCCACTCAAGATCACAAGTGCATGCGTGCTCATGCCTGGTTTGCTCAGGTCAACACAGGATCCGAACCTCTGGTTTTCCACATGACCATCAGCACTGCAGAGTGGCATCTACTGCCTGTACCACTGCAGCCGGGCTCAACTTCCGAATATTTCTGAAGTACAAAAAAGATCTGAATAAAATAATTGAGATCCTATATTCAAAGTGAGAAAAATAAAAACTGTAAAGATGTTAATTGATTTTATTAATTTTATGAATGCAATTCAATTACTATTAACATCTGAGCAGAGGACTTAATTGTTAAGAAATTTTACAAATTGATTTGAAAAATCACAGGAATGAGCAAAACAAGAAGAGTAACAAAATCAATGTTGATCAACAAGAAAGGGGAGCTTGCAAATTAATTGGAGAATGCGGAGAATAGAAGGGTACAAGATACAATGTAAGTACAGTGAATTTGCCCTCTTGGGCTGAATAATTAGTAAGCACACACTTTCCAATGAAAACTAATAAATGACAGAAAGTTCTGAACACAAATCAGTGAAAGAACATGCTTATAGCAATCCATGCCGTCTCTGCTCAGACTGGCTAGGTAACTGTCATGCATCAGGGAGCACTAGGACCAGAGGAGGTCTGCAGAACTATAACACACAAGAGTAATGGTTTAGATTTTATGACTTGGAAGACTCTCAGAAAATCGACATTTAAAAAAATTATTTATTATTTTTTTAATTTCTATAAGGCTAATATACTTACCAGAGACAGACAGACAGAAAGTGAAAAAGTAAGCCACCAGGTTCGGGACTTGAACCACAATGGGCCATGTGGGAATCCAGTGCCTTAACCACCACACCACCTGCTGGCCCCTGAAATTTTTTTTTAAAACCCTTTAAAAAGCCATCCCAGGAACTTTTCACAACATCCTGCTTTGTATACTGTCTCTAGGAAACATATTTTTTTTTCTCCAAAGTCAATAGTGTGCTTGCTGATAAAAGTAGATACAAGGACAGTCATCAGATTAGGGGAAAAATGGTCTTTGTTATCTTTTATTTATTTTTTTGAAGATTTTTGCTATAGGGCACGTGCACTCGCCAGAAAGACAGACAGGAAACGAGAAATCATCCCTCCAGGAGGGGTGGCCACGCCACAATCCCTACTCCCCCATTCTCCTCTTGGGATCTTGGGCATGCACACACATGCACCCAGCGTGAGTTTAAGCCACTGGATCCGGGACTCGAACCACAGTAGACTACATAGGAGTCCAGTGACATAGCCATTACACTAACTGCTAGTCTTTGTTTTAAGAATGAGACAGAAGAGGACACGAAAAGAAGACTGAAAAAGCAAAAATTCCAGACTCACCAACACACTCAAGCAACATGTGGAAAAATGATGAAAAGGCTAGCTACTCCTTTTTGTTGTGTTTTTTTTTTTCCAAACAAAATGTAAATCAAGAGAGATCACAGGTGCTCTAATGAAATGTTCTTCAGCTAACGTGCCTTCCTGTTCCCTTTCTGAGCCTCATAGATACATGGAAGGAGGAAGGAAGAAAGTGATTTAGGCTTGCGTATGGTATTTTATTTTCTGGCAAAGGTAATTGTGTGCTCTTGGTAATTCAGCAGTTTAGATTCATCATGACATTTATTTTTCAAGGGCTATCTCCATTCTTCAAGTAGATCTTTATTCTACTACTCACACATTCAAGGATAAAAAATGCGCTTCAACGTATTAAATTAAATTACCTTTAAATCCTGCAGCTTTGCTTCAAGCTCTGATCTTTTGAGAATCATTGTCCCATTAAGAGTCTCTATCCTGTTTAAGGAAAAAAAAAAAAAAAAGAGGGGGAGGTAGGTAGGAGGAAAATAACATGAGTGATTCATTTAAATAAGTACCATCCTTATGGAGTACTACACTTTGAGCACAGACTATACTAAAAATGCAACATAAATGTTACAGTTCTTATGGCACTCCAAGTATCTGGACCTATGCCAGATCTTCTGACAACATGCAGAGAAAGAAAATGGAAGGAGGGGGAAAAAAAATTCCGGTGAGAGTGTGGCTGAAAGAAAAAATCCTAGCTAACTTGCAAACCAGAGCTCATTTTATAGACACCACAATATGACAATGGTGGTTATTCTCTACTGGAGTCTCTCCTTATAGGCAGAGGCTGAATCACCACAATCATTTGGTGGGTATTTATTGGGCATCTATTATGTGCCAGCCTCTAGACAACACACAAATCACAAGGGATACAATAACAGAAATAGGCACTGGGAACTTTCACAACACTGAGATCAACATGCTACTTCTTTCCTCAGATTCTGGAGGACTTTGCCTCTATATATTGCATCATCATTTTGGAACTAGAACAAACAGAACCAGAACTACTATAAGATAATAACCTTTATATGACACTTTCATCTCAAAACCTTTCATTTACAAACTTTAATCCTAGAATTATCAGTTTAACAGTGTACTTTTCTTCCTACACCAAACACCTCTCTAAAAATAAAAGACTTGTTCTATCCTGAGTGATTTGATTTGTTTTGTGTGCTCAAATTAAAGACCTTCCTTTTGATTGCTAAACCATTAATCTGAATATAGTAACAAATTTCCTTTCTGAATCACACACCTGAGCATTTCAAAAGTATTGTTCAAATTCCTTAAGAAAACTAAGCTGTAACTAAGACACAGCAAAAACACCAAATGTGACCAATTTTCTCTATTACCAATAGCCTTACACCCAAGATAATGAGATGATAGCAAGCCAAAATACTGTCTGCTTTCTCATTAGGATAGTCTTGACTCTGGGCAAGAGTGGAGATTCCTAGGAATCTGTTTTATTACAACTGTTTTTCATTTTTTATTTTTTTCTGTTTTTATTGAAATATAAATTATATACAATAAAATAGATTTGTGTTTGCCATTGAATGCACCATGACAAATGTATAGCTTCATGAAACCATGACCAAGATTATGACTGAGAACATTTTCTGTGCCCCCAGAAAGCTTTTTCTTCTTCTTTCTACTCAGCCTCCCAGAATCAACCACTCTTGATTTCTCATACTTATGCTCGGTCTTCATATGAATAGTCTCATCCAGTGTGTACTCATTCAGCATCCCTGAGACTTAATGTTAATCTGATCTGCCCAAACAGTAGATGTGTATGGGCAACAGCACAGGCTTTGATTCACCATCGTCTTCAGTATTAGTGCAAACCATCTCCCAGTTTCCTGGTCTCCATATTCCCAATAATTATTCCACTCTTCTTCCCCTTATTTATCTGTGATCTGTCCACTTCCTCCATGTGGAACATGCTTTCATAACTAACCACCAGCATTTTCTCTTGAACTCTGTATGGTCCCTCCCTTCTGGATCCAGTTTCCTCCAGAGTAAGAGTGCCCTATCTTCTATTCTGAACTCATAGGACCCACAGTGTCCCTGGACTCAGTCCTCTACCACCATCAGTCATCTTTCCAAACTACACACAGACACACACACTCACACACACACACACACACACACACACACACACACATGAGTATCCTTTGAAGTCTCAGATAGAGTCACTGAAGAGCAGCCAGAGTTTCTATTGGCTGTTTATATTGAGCAGCTGTAGCTGAAGAGAAGATCCTGGCATCCTGAGTGAGGAGGAATTGATTCCCAACCCAATCACTTAGTACTTGGGTGACCTTCACTAAGCCCTCTTTAAACCTCAGGCACTTCGTCTATAAATAGGAATAAAGTTAACTCTATAAAGTGTCTGTAAAGAATGGTAGGATAATGTAGGACCCACATCAATCAGGATAAAACCTGAATGCCATGACCGATGAGACACAAAGTCTGCTTCCTGGCTAACTCTGTCTTCAGTTCTTATTATACCCTCTCTAATCCAATGGCTACCAATTACTTTGGTCTTACTCTGCCAGTTAGATTTGCCAAGCTCAGTTTGTGAATGCAGAGATCTCTCTCTTTTTTTAGCTGAAATGCTCTTCCCAGGAGTTCATATGACCATCTCTTCACTTCATTTAGATCTCAGCTCAAATTTCACCTTCTCAGAAAAGACCAGTTTAAACAGTGAAGCTAAACTATCAGTCCTCTTATTCAGTATTCTATCCCACTGCCCACATAGCATTCATCAATAACTGAAATATAGAAAGGACTTATTTTCAGGTTTTTCTTAGTCATTCCCTTTCACAATTATTAAACCAAGAGTCTTTATCTTTGTCTCCACTAAGTCTGTCACAAAGCCAGAAACATACTTACTCTATGTAATTATAATGAATGAGCAAATTCCATCTTTTTAACTACTTAAAGGAAAAGGTCTTATTCAGTATTAGAAATTAACATGGAGAAGTCAGTCAAATCTCTAATTACCAAGACCAATATACTATTAATAAATTTAGAGCATAAAGGGGAAAAAGAGAACATTTAAGAAACACAAAAATGAAAAATTATCTGTTGATGATAATGTGCATAATAATATCGTTAAATAGACTAACACACAGTGTATTCAAGCTAGAAAAATTCATTTTGCAAGCTATAATGATATACAATGATTGGATGTATTAAAAAACTTAATAATAAATTTTAAAAATTAGAGTATCAGTGATGCGACTATGTGTGTTTCAGGGTGGGGAGGGTTGAAAAAACTGTTCTACCTTCCAAATGGAACACTACAAAGAGAAAAACAAGTATCTTGTAGCATAAGAAAAAAAAAAAAAAAACTAAGCTTTTCTGACTTTTGATTTGTTCTAGCAACAAGATTCTATCAGCCACAGATGTGGACCAGTTCTTCTTGGTCCAAGGAGAATATGTGCCAATTTCATTGAATTTAACATTTAAAAAAATACACATTTAAATGCTATCCCTCCCACACGATTTTCTGGGCTATTGATGTCTCTGACTTCAGATGTTGACAATATGTTCGAGTCTGAGGAAGCCTTAAGAAACAAAAGGAACTAATAAAAACAATTTGTACCCAATCCCAAAGCTGTGGTACACCGCTTCCATTCCTGCAATCCTTGACCAAAGAGCCTGTTCATTTTATCAACAGGCATTCTGAGAAACTTTCACATCTCTGAAGCCCCATGGAAACTTACGTTAGCAGGTTTCCTGACGATCTGATCAGGTCAACCACTTGTTTGTGGGTAAAGCCTTCAGTGCTCACACCATTGATATTCATAAGAACATCACCTGGGAGATGCCAAGAAAAATGAGTGACACATTGTTAGGTAAATAATTTCGCCTGAGAGGGAGATGAACAAAACAAACTCCAAACTTTAGGAACATAATAGAGCTAAGGATAGTCAAAGTCACAATCATAATCTGAACTTCACTATCAAAAAATTTCTTTCCTTGCTATTAAGCTATTCCTAACAGGAGCAAAATTTCGTTACCAGCTTGCAGACCGGCATAGTGAGCAGGGCTGTCATCCTGTATTTTGCAGATCAGAGTGCACATTTCTGAGGACCAAGCATTCTGGTTCTGGAACCTGTATGTCTGTAAAATTAAAGAGATATGGTTACTTTTTTTGAAAGATTCAAAATCTACTTGTCAAAAAATAAGATTGTCAATTGCCATTAAACAGTACAATACATAAGTGAGAAGGACAAGTCAGAAAGGCTTTCCTAAGTATAAACCAAAACAAAGATACCAATTTCGCAATTCTAACATAATCTGCAGCCAACTCCATTAAAAATACAATCTGGCATGAGAAAGAAAGTGAGATGAAAGTAAGTCAAACTTGTATATTTTCTAAGGCCACTTGATGCTATTATCATTACATATTAATTAAGAAAAAATGAGATTCTCATTTGCCCATGGGATAAAACCACATTGACCAAAAGCAAAGAGAAGAATCCCTGTGTGTTCCTCTGTAGCTAAAACAGTCATTACAGGAGAGTATAAAACAGTGGATATCCAGCATGGGAGACATGCCAACAATGATTATTTTAAATCAGAGTTCTGCAAATAATAACAATCCGCCCTGCATTTATTCAAAAGTGCTATAATTGACTCAATTACCTTCACTTCTGAGCACTCTCTGGTACACCTGCTTTGAATTCTTACCGGTTCATTAGTTGCCCAACTCAATTAGAAAAAGCTATGCTTCATCTCTTGCTTCAATTTTGCAAACAGTAGTTCGGTGGTGGTGGGATTTTTTTTGCTGTTGTTTTTTTTTTTCAAATTGTACCAACACATTGAACAAATGTTTGCTAGATATCATGTTCCAATAACCTATAGGAAACATTTTTTTTTCTTTTTCAATCATTTAATTATGAGATCTAGTACCATGTGGAATCAAAATCAGTGTTTTGGGTTGTGTAAGTCTCTTAAACATCTGATTCCTAAAATCAAGACATATTACAGTACTGCTAATGTGTGAAGAAATTAATGTCTGACGTTCATTCATTCTTTGATCATCTTGGAGGCACCACTAGTAAGTCATGTGTAACAATATTGAAAAACTTCTATTAACCTCTAAGAAATTGCTCTGCAATCTATAAGGGATTTAACATCCTTATATTTTAAAGATAGAAAGGACTTTAAAAGATGATAAGTAATGCATTGCCCATTTTGTCAGAAACCCCTTTAACAGCTTCGATGCCAGAGATCTTCTCATTTATGGGAGATGGATTTAATTCATGTGGTACATGAACCAAAGATAAAACCAATACTCCTTAGGGAAACCACAGTTCTAACAATTCTCCATAGCAGAGAGAATCTAGCCTCCAACTCTAGTAATCAAAGTTAGTGCATTGCTGAGTGACTGTAAACTCAAGTATATATGAGTCTAAAGTCTGTGTTCCTGTCTTGCAAAATGCTTCTCATAAACAGCATATACCATCCATGGAAAACCAGAGAGGAGAGTAAATCTAGTCTCTTCCAAAGTATTCTTTACCTTATAGGCCAGAACCCAAATACATATTCACACTGGGTGCACGATATGGGTACACAAGGTTCTATCTGGTCTTTTAAAAGTTCTCAGAAGAATTTCCCCTATTTGTTGACTGTTATAAATCTTAGATGCTAGAAAATGGAGTATGACATAAAGCTATTGGAAAGCATGTTCCAGAGGGAATTTATATAGGGATGTGGAGTCCTGCATCCCTGAGATAACACATACATGCTGCAACTTAGAGATGTAGCCATTAGCTCATATTGATCTACAGAGATTCAATGGCACTATGAATTGCTGTCTAACAATGATAATTTTTTTCTTTCATTTATTTATTTTTACATTTTTCCACAAACATTTACTTTACATAGCAAAAAATTTTAGCTCATAATCCATAATTCTTGACAGTTTACAAACAACTTTCGAAATTTCAAAATACTGAATTTTAAAGATAATGTTCAAAATATGTCTTATAATTTTGTATAATTTTATGACTCTATAACAACAGAAGCACTATGAAGTCAAATACATATATACATATATATATATGTGTATATATCATAGCATGGCTTGCTTCACTCAGCAGTAAGTCTTCCATATTCATCCACTTCCTTTAAAAAGCCAGGGTTTTGTTGTTTTTTATGGATGAATAGTATTCCATTGAGTATATGTGCCAGTTTTTCTAACCATTCATCAGTTCGTGGGCATTTAGGTTGTTTCCATGACTTAGCAATCGTGAAAAGTGCTGCAATAAACATCGATGTGCAAGCACTTTTTCGATTAAGTGTTCTTCTGTCCTTGCTCCATGTAGGATAAGTATTTATGGTCCAAGAGAAAATCATAAATAAGCGATGGCCCAGCCAAGGTGGCACAGGAAGTTATGAAAATCATATGGCCAAGTGTGGGTGTGGGTTCCAAGTCAAACAGTAACACGCCCAACATGCACACCCAGATCAACTAGTTGTAAGGTTAGGGAAAGGAGCTCATGGCATGACAAGACCCTATCAGAGGTGCTTATTTCTTTTTCTCATATGCATGCTGTGTCATGAAGGAAATAAAATAAACAAACTTAAAAAAATAACAGTAAGTGAGAAATAATTTGTCTTGTTTTCAACAGCAACTACTGAACATCATTGAGGATAACTCTCTTCAGAAAGAAGTAATTAAAAAAGTATGGCATCTCTACAACAGAATGCAGTGTTTCTTGTGAGTGGGGAGTAAGAGCCCACTATGCTTCTAAAACATGATGAGTTTCACCAATTATTGTGATAAATTATAGATTTAACCAAATTTAAAAGTAAAAGAGTTCAGAAAGTAGAAGTTATGATCTTCTCTCCTATAGCTTTCTCTCTATTCATTGCAGCTAGCATTCCATTCTGTTTCTTTACTCATAAAACATGTTTTACTTAGCAGCTTCCTGTTCCGAATCTTAAAATATACATTGACTTTCCAATTGTGGGACTGATATCACACCAAAGCTTTCTGAATGCAGCACCAGAGCTAAGATCTAAAATCTGATGTATAAAAATATGATTATGCAAAACACATCTAAAAGGAATGCAAAAGTGCTATGGAAAAAAAAAACAGTAACACTTAAGCTACTTTTGTTGCCTTTAATTGAACTAGATTTCATTTGACTTAACTCACCATCTTTACAAATGCGGTCATGAAAAAGCAGACAACAAATAAGCAATGAAATTCTTAGGCAATTACACTGAAACCTATAAAAACTCAAACATTTCCTACAGCATGAAGCAATCTGAAAGTAAAGCCAAATGTTCTTAAATGTTTTAAAGTGTTGTCATTAGGCAGGGGGAAAGCTATAAATGTCTCATTATATTTAATATGAAATCTTTGGTACTGAAATGTAACAGGAGCTATAAATGAATATCTGATCAGATCTGATCAGACATGGACTTAAGGAAAGACTGAGGCAACGAAAGACAAACTGCCACGCTGTGTCAGTGGGGTTTGTTTATTTTATTTTAATTTTTTCTTTAATCATGACAGAGTGCATGCAGGCAAACATGAGAGTGAAAAAGTGACAGAGAGAAAGACGAGCACCTGCCACAGGGCGTGGTCACACAGCAGCCCATTTCCTGCAGTCCCTCAGCCCTCTCACTCACTGGGTCTTTGGTACTGGGTGCACGCATGGAGTGCTTTGGGCTGACCAAGCTAAAGATTCAAACCATGTCTCCATACGGGGTCTCACCTCTCTTGAGCAGCACACCACTGTTGTGGCATGAAGCTCATTCACTGAGAGCATACGTGTTCTATCTGCTTAAATGTTTTCGTTTCTTGACAGTACTCAGTAACTGAGAAACTACTATGAATCCACTGAATAAAAGTCATTATTTCCATCACTCTCTGATCCTAACTTCATTTGTTCTTTGCTAACATCATGACATTACCAATGCTAAGTTCTTCCTTGAGGGTTTTGGATAAGAAAAACTACCCACCTGAATTTCAAATCCAAATGTTCCATTATCCTGCTTTTCCACAGTAACAAGCTTTCTGTAACTATTTTAAAATAAATAAATAAATAAATAAATAAATAAATAAATAAATAAATAACTTCATGAAGATCAAAGGAACACATTTGGTACATACTTAGCCTTCAAAACAACTGTTACAATTTAAAAAATAGTTGGGATTTCTGTAAATTATAGCACGTATGACTGTGTGTGTGTGTGTGTGTGTGTGTGTGTGTGTGTATGTGTGTGTGTAACAGAGAGGGAGAGACAGTATTAGCAACAGTCTGGAGAGTTGTGGTCCTAAATATCTTGGTAAGAAACCAAAAAAAAAAAAAAAAAAGAAAGAAAAGAATTTCGTTACCTTTGAGACCAGGAAAAATCACCTAAAGAACTTGATCTAGTCAAAGCAAGCTGAAAAAAAAAAAAAAAATACAGTTATCAAAGGTCCTGAAGCTACATCTGCAAACTATTCTAAATCACAGAGAACTTTGTTCTTTATCAAGTTCCTTAGTCCAGCTTCTGGATAATTGTTACCTAAAAGCTATCATTTCCATAGTAAAGGAGACTTGGGAAAGGAACTTTCTGGCATTCTATTTAAAAGATGAAAAGAGGCTCAGATAATAATATAATGTTAAAAAAAGAGTTCATGTAATGTGGCAAAACTTCAAAGCTTCCAGAAAGAACTTTATCAGGGACCTGTATTTTCAAAAGCATCCGGGGCCAGTCCTGTGGCCTAACAGTTAAGGTAGCTGAATCTTTCATGGCTGACTACAGCCCAGACCCAGAAACTTGGAAAACATACTAGCGTGAGCAAATGAGCCCAAAACCTCAACAGGTTGGAGAAATGGAGGAAAAGGGTTGCAGTGTGATCATCTGCCATTTCAGGGTGCTTTCTTTCACTCTCCCTCTTGCTCGCTCTGAGGTGTGCTCAAGACTTCTGTCAATAATAAATTAATAAATGAAGAGAGCATCTGAGGGAACCAGCAGTTAGCGTAATGGCTATGTCGCTGAACTCCCACGTAGTCAACCGTGGTTCGCATCCCGGACCCAGTGGCTTAAAACTCACGACGGGCGCATGTGCGTGCGTGCCCAAGATCCCGAGAGGAGAATGGAGGAGAAGGGATTGCGGCGTGACCATCCCCCCTGGGGGGTGATTTCTTGCTTTCTGTCTCTATGTCTCTCTCTGTCTGTCTGGCGAGCGCACACGCCCTATAGCGAAAACCTCTCAAATAAAATAAATAAATAAAGATAGCGTCTGAAAGATTAACCGTAATAACTTATAATCACACTGACATTCAAGGAAACTAACACCCATAAAATGGCATACAAAGGCCAAATACTTGATAGTTTTTGGAAACACTGATGACATAACTGTTTATTGTAATAATTCAATATATTACTGTTTATAGCAGATAAAATCATCTCTAAAGAACTAGTTTATACATGGAAACACAATTCAGGTGTAACAATCAAGAATTCAAAATATCAATTCTGTATATGATCTATTTTTGCAGTTATTTTTGAATAATGCAGTGAAATTTCCAGCCAAGAAAGGAAAGTAATTTTCAGGATGATATAAATGGCATAAATAATGTCATCTTTACTTCTCTGCATTTTGGAAAAAAATGACATGAACACAAATTTTCAGAATACATTCTACCATTTTAAACAGAGAAAAACTCCACAAAAGGTGGGACCTTATGTTTTGCGGAATTGCAATGAGCTTTGTACGTTTTTGGATTTGTTTGTTTGTTTAGGAATTGTCCAATAAATGCTAATTAGTCCTTCCTCAGGTGTTGATTCAAGGGCACAAAAATAAGTTTATGTTAATAGCTAATTTATAGTGTTTAACTGTCAACCTGATATGGTCGTTACACATAAATGAGTACATAAAAAACTAAGAGACCAATGAATTATTATTAAAATTTTGAGCTTTGGCAATTTTAATTGCCTTTTCACTGGGACAATAATCATAGCATTGATAGAAGCCCCACTAGCATTCTAAATAAATAAATCATTCCGCAGGGCAGAGGTAGTTAAGGCACTGGATTCCCACATCGTCAAGCATAGTTTGAGTCTGAGACCCAGCATTTAAAAATCATGCTGGGCATGTGTGTGTGTGTGTGTGTGTGTGTGTGTGTGTGTGTGCCCAAAATCCCAAGAGGAGAATGGAGGAAAAGGAATTGCAGCATGATATGTCCCTTGTGTGTGTGTTGGGGGAGGGGGTGATTTCTCACTTTCCCTCTCACTGTCTCTCTTTGTCTCTCCCTAGCGACCACACGTTTTGTGCTATGACAAAAACCTTTTAAAAATTCTGGATAGGTCATAATTTAGGTCCACATGACAGATCCGAGACTTCTGTACAGGGTTCTACTACTTCTTCCTTACTTCTCTCCTTCTAAGCTTTCTATCTGGCTAATTAGCTAGTTAAAAATGAACATATTTGTCTAGCACAATATGAGAAGCATAACAGGTGTTAAATTCCTGTGGACTGACTGATCTGGGTTATCAGTGACACACAAAAAAAATCAGACTAAGTCAAATTACAAATTAGTTTCCATTCTAGATTAGCACAGAGGCTGTCTTAAGCATCTTACATTTAAAAAAAAAATTTAATTAGACACCATCAAATTCTCTGACACGTGCCACGTCTTGACACAAAGCCTGCTTGTTTTTGATCTGGGCTGTCAAATGCAGCGATGTGGGAAGGGATGTTCTCAGAGTTCAACCTAGCTCACACACCAAACTGAAGGGACTTTGTCTAAGGTCTTGCCAAGGTTCTTACGCACTGGATCAAGGTTTTCCTGTGCCTTTTCCTTAGGATGAGCAGTCCTCCTTGAGGACCCAAGTTCCACAGAATGCCCTTCCAGCCAGTCTTTTCTCAGGGTTAGAGTGATGGCACCAAAAATCATGAATGAGGAGCTGGTGTGCAATTCACAGCATATGCTGGCAACAGCTGTCTTTTATTACACATTATCTAATATGAGAAATCTAGGGTTTAGCAATTTGGCAGAATTGCAAACTACACATTCAATTATGACTGCAGCATAGACAAAGCTCCTTAACTCCTTGATAGTCACGAACATAATAATGCCTGGAGTTGGGTTTATAGTCACTCTTCTGTTTTTAATCAAGTGACTTTTAAAAAGTCAGATACTAATAGTCAACATGTAATTTTTTTACACTACATTGCAATTCACATAATTCTCATTAATGGGAAACTAAGACCAAATGCTTCAGCTGTTAGTTTGTAAAAGATAAGGCAACCTGCAACTCAGCCCAGATAGTTACACAGCCGCAAGAAAGCTCAAAGTTCAACACCATGGCCACTTCTGGGGCTAAATTACCGACTTGTAACTTCCCAGTCTACATTCTACATACTCATTTTGTAACATGTTGGGAGGTGTGAGAAGGAGACCATACTCATCCCAGGTGAGGTTTGCGGTGGTGGTTGTTTCAAAAGCTCCTAAATTATGTACTCTGCTTAATTCTGGTTCCCTGCCTCACCTCCTCTACCTCACCGCCATGCCTCAGTGAACTCAGCTCCCCTCCCACCTTTTAAGTCAGTAGCATGAGAATAACAAGTGTCCACAGACTATTCAGAGAAAACAAAATAAAGGAGATGAGCTCCATTTCCTACCTTGTAGGTTCCCTTAACAGAGGTAGATAGAATGTGGCGGCCTTCCTGGGAGGTCTGATCATACACTCAGGGACCTCTTTTGCAAGAAAATTTGTTGGATATTGATTCCAAGCATGCCACACTATTGATTAAAGAATACTTTTCCAGTCAAACCACCATAGCAGAAGTGGTAGGTGCCTCTTTATAAGGCCATGGCTGCATAGGAGCCCCCAGGATTGGGTCCCAAAGCAGTCTGAACACTGTGAGCACAGTAGCCTATAATCCTCGCTAGCTGGGGCCTGGGGCAGAAGTTTGTGAATATAGGTCTCTGTCAAAAACCTCTCTCTCTCTCTCTCACTCTCTCTCTCTCTCTCTCTCTCCACTTCTTTCTCACTCTTTAAATAACATAAAAATTTCTAATTCTTTTGTAGTGATATTAACACAGTATTTTTCTTTTACCTAAAAGCATCATTAAGTAGCCAAAATCCCTTTGTGCAGTTAGAAGCACTTGGGGATGATGGCACCTGATGAGAGTGCTCAGGAATGGTATGACAGTTTCCGAAGGGTGGACCTATCCCACAATATGAAGAGGGTAGCACAAATTGTAAGGGAAATCATCCTTACAGAAGTTACCTATTACTTTTTTTTTTGGAGAGGTTTTTGCTATAGGGCACGTATGCTCACAAGAAAGACAGAAAGAGAGAAATCATCTCCCAGGGGGGATGGCCACGCCACAATCCATTCTCCTCCCTTCTCCTCTGGGGATTTTGGGCACTCATGCACACATGCCCAGCATGAGTTTAAGCCACCAGGTCCGGGACTTGAACCGCAGCTTACCACATGAGAGTCCAGTGACATAGCCATTACACCAACTGCTGGTCCCAGTTACCTATTCCTTAATAGATAACTAAAAGACTGTCAGGCAAAGACAGTCTATGCTTCCACTAACGCACAGGTGGGCTTCTTGCCTGTTGGTCAGGTTCCGTTCTCACCTAGAGCATTTGATGAGGACTGTTTTCCAAAACCAACCTCTACTCTGTGCAAGTGGGAAGTAAAGCAAAAGAACTACTCCTTTGGCATCGCCGTATTTACAAAGACAGCCAGTTTCTATCTTCTTCCCCTGGAGTTTTCTATTGCAGAGTTTTGTTTTTGTCTTGTTTTCTTTTCTAAAACTATGTTCAAAAGTAGATGCCTTACTGAGGTGTCTGATACATCCTACAAATATAAGTATTGGGATAATATACACACACAGAAATTACTTTTATGTCACTCTGAGTGTAAGCAACCAACTGATTCTGAAGATTAACCTGAAACTACAGGCTAACCAGATACAGCTTTGCAGAAACCAAAACCAACAATAACAAGAAGCATAAATGGTTGACGTCAGCCCTGAGAGTATTGAAAATAACAGTAGGCAGGGAAACACCTGTTCAAAGGACTGCCTCACAAGGATCTTGTTGCCTGCAATTCAGTCAGTGCCAAATGGAGTGATTATTCTCTAAAAATCAGTTAAAGCAAATGAGCATCCATTTGGAAGATTCTGAAATTTTGGAATAAACTTGTATCAAGTCCTACTGATGATAATCGTGCAGAATCAGAAATATAATGTCCAAGAGGTTTCCCACTCCCCCAAGAGGTTTTTGCCTAAGGGTATCATGCACTCTCCATAGAGAGAAAGAGACAGAGAGTGAGAGGGAAAGTGAGAAATCACCCCCCTGGGGGAATGGCTATGCCTTAATACTTTCTCCTCCATTTTCTTCCTGGAATCCTGGGCATGAATGCATACACACCCTGTGTGAGTTTCAAGCCAGCGAATCCAGGCTTCAAACCACAGTAAGCCATGTGGGAGTCCAGAGACGTAACTGCTACACCATCCGCTGGGCCCTTTCAGTCTCTCCTCCATTCCCTCATTTCCTGTTTCTCCAATTACTACATCTCCAACTGATGCCTCCCTCACCACTGATCTCTACTCATTTACCAACCCCCCCCCCAACACACACACATTTCTAAAAGGTTCTTAAAGTCCTCTACTGCTCAAACAAGGTTCTCAGACCTGGTCAAACTACTGTTTTCTTAGGGGAAGTTGTCCCAGTGTTCTGTAAGGCAGCCCAGCTCTGATGTTTCCTCTCACTTCCTACATACTCACCAGGTCCCCTGACATGCTTAATACTGCACTGCTACACAGACAGGTCATGAAGGCCTCAGTATTTGTGCCTTAGCACAGGCTAGTCCCTGGCCCTGGAATATCCTTCCATATCTAGAATATCTATCCTATCGTATTCAAAGACATGTGACTTGATGAGAGCATTTATGTTATTTTACTTTGTGTTATTCCACCCGCTGCATCGTAGACCTTATACAGGCAGGAAACATGCTCCTCTAATCTTCGTTCCTACAACACTTAGCAAGATGTCTGTCCCTTTTATGTGCTTAGATACTATCTGTCACATTGAAATGTGTAGGCCTACGCTGAAGAGTAGATAAAATGAGTGAGGTTGCAGGTGTGGAGGGCATACGGGGTAGAAAGTTCCCGCCATGACTCAAAAATATCCAACTATTTTTAGCAGTAGGTATTCTACCAAAAGAATGAAACCAGGGCCCAACCAAGTGAACCATAGTCAGATGACTTCATGGCAAATAAAGAGAAATGGACTATTCTATGTCTGAAAACTGAATAAAGATGTTAGTATCTCCAAGTTTCTTTATTTTCTGATAGGTTTAAAACCAATAGAAATGTACAATATATTAAACTTTGTATCATGAAAGCACGTTGAACAGTGAAAGGTCACTCCAAACATGGCAAATTATGTACTTATAGTCATTGTGAAAATAACAAGGAATCAGCTATCGTCATTCCTGAAAACAAATCATGACCCTCCTACTATGTTGTAATTTTCTAATCTTCAAATTAAAAGATTTAAGAGGAGCTCATGATGTACATGGAAGATTTAAGAGTAAAAATTCATCCTTTAAAGCTTCCTTGGACTGGCTTTGTGGTGCTGTGGTAATGTGCTGCTCAAGGAAACCAGATTCACAGGACAACAATGGTTCAAACCCCAAGTCTGGTCAGTCTGAAAAATACAATGAGTATGTACGTGAGTGCCCAAGATTCAATGACCTAGAGGACTGGGGGAGGGGGATCCCAGCATGACCCAACATTACCCTGCAGAGGGTGATCCATCCTCTCTCTCTCTCTCTCTCTTTCTCTCTCTCCCTCTCTCTCTCTGTCTTTTGCACACACACATGAAATTTATAATGAATAAAGTAAACAATTATTTTTTAAAATTTTAAAGCAGTTCCAAATATTTTCTGTACAAGTGCTATATCCAAATTCTAAATGTGTACCTGAGGCATTATAACAACTTAAGGCAAAATCTGAAGAGGGACATTGGCTAAAAAATTTTTTTTGACATACAGAAAATTGAAGAACAAAAAAATATCATTAATTCAGTTGGACGTGGATTATTTTCCAAACAAATTTTCAACTGTAGAGAAATACTTCATAAAAAAATTTTTTTTACATAACATAAGCTAACCATGGGACCAGCACATGGCATAATGGTTACATCGCTGGATGCCCACATAGGCAACTGCAATTTGAGTCCCAGACCCAGTGGCTTAAAACTCATGTCAGGTACATGCATGCCCAGGATCCCGAGAAGAGAATAGAGGAGAAAGGATTGCGGTGTGGCTGTGTCCCATGGGGAGTGATTTCTCACTTTCTGTCTCTCTGTCTCTCTCTGGCCCTCCAGCAAGTGCATGGACTCTATAGCAAAAACCTCTCTGAAATAAATAAATAAGCTAGCCTTTAATGAGCACACGCTACATGTTAGTCACTATATTAAACACTACACAATTTCTTTCTTAAGCAGCATTAAGATTTCAATAAGCTGATTCAATTATGATGTTCATTTTAGAAGAAAGAAAATTGAAGCTTAGAGGAGTAAGTGATTTGCTCAAAATTTGATGGCTAATAAAGTGGCAGAGTTGATGTTCAACCTGGCCTTCACCTACGCCCCAAAAAAGTCTTACTTCCTAATAGCATGTGGCATGTGCCTGTGCCCTCGAGCTGTACTAATTTCTTCATCAACAAACTGTGTCCTCAAGAAAAAGTATTCTCATCTGATTATGAACTGAAATGCCCGAGGGCCAGATGTAAGGATGGGAGAAGAGTAAGAATCAAAAGAGCCATAAAGGGGGAAAGATCAACAATTCTCATACTACTTGTCTATCTAAACCATCTTCAAGTTTGCTCTGCTGAATGATTTTTGTTGTACCATTTCAAATGAGTGAAACACTGCCTTAAAGTTTCACCTTGAAAAAAAGTTTGATTACGGTCTCAAATCTTTAGACTGGCCCACTAGTTCTCTGGCTATCTCACCTCTTTCTTCACCCCATACTCTCACACAGCAGTCCTAAAACCTTTAAAATAAACATTTTAGTTTGAAATAAGAGAAACGTATCAGTGTGCCCTGAAGAGACACGAACGCTGTAACAGGTACAGAATAAAGATCATACCTGCTTTCGCCCCCGAGGCAGAGTAGCCACAGTGTCTGCCAGCGTTTGAATCCTTCGATTATCATCCCTGGAAAGGCTGCCCGTGAGTGTGGGGTAAGAACTGTACGCTGGACCAGCGCAGAAGTCCACCAAATTGGCATTGCTGTTCTGTTGCATGAGCCTTTGTAAAGACATTGTGACTCAAGATTAGCCCAGCTAGTACATGGTGGAGTGGCCTTGCAGAATGGGGGAAGCTGCAAGTACAGCCTCTGACAAGTCATCGAAAGGAGCAAAGCAGAAAGAACCCATGTGACTTCTGTGGTTTGAGGTGCTTGTTACACAAACCCTATCTCGCAGTTCACTCCCATTTCTCAACGCTTTTTTCATTAAGCTCCTGGGAGACTCTCAAACTAATTTTCACAATTTAAAAAATCAACTTCTTTTTTTTCTCCCTCAAACAGCCGGAACTCTTATGCTTTCATGTTCTATGGCAACTGTGTTCAAAACACCATCTGCCTTTTTTTTTTTTTTTTTTTTTAGAAGAAAGAAAAACTTCCTCAAGTTCTGCCATTTGTTACTCATCCATTCTTTCACTTGAAATTAACGGTGCGATGCAGAAGTCAGGATGTGCAGACCTTGAGTTCGTGTGCGTCGAAGCAAGAATTACAGGTGACAGGCGTAATGTCTTCTCCCAAAGCGCTCGTGATGCGCTTTCCCCAAAGTACACGCTAGGTCGTCCATGTTCATCAGAAAGGCGGTGTATCTGCCACTTGGGTTCTAACTAGCCGGCATTCTTCTCTCCTTCGCACTATGTCGCCCTTCCTACAGTTATCCACATCCTTACAAGCACAATGCGGGGGGAAAGGCCAGCACATGCCGGGCACAATGCAGGCCACGTCACACCGCACTTTGCGGCAGCATCAGCAAGGGGCACCAGTGCAAGAACAGAGGGCCAGGAAGGTAACGAGCGTGCCAAGGTGGCACAAGGGTGGTGCAGGGGCGGGGGGATCTGTGTGCGCACATGGGGCCGGTGGTTTCGAGAGAACTGGTTTCAAGGGTGGAGCAGAAGTGGCAAAGAGAAGGAAGAACCAAAACAAAAATCAAAAGGAGAAGTTTCATGTAGCTTAAAAAGCCCGATCCACTTTTGAAAATCATCTTGAATGTCATACCTAGAATTTAAAAGGGTTAGAGAATCTTTGGACTGAAATAGAATGTGTGTGTCCTGGCAGTCAAGGTGCACTCAGCTCAAGCAGAATTTGTCAGAAGTGAAGTCTTCTGAGATAACAGTGCTTCAAAAGAGGGAGCCACCTCAGACATTTTAAAAACCTTTCAGAATCTGACTAGTTATTAGTGGAATTGAATTATAATGTGTGCAAAATGTCTCTAAAAATATAGAGAGATCTAAATCAGGAGTAATAATCACATGTCCCTTTGGAGGCCAGGTGAGTAAGAAAAAGTGTAAGACAAAAGGGAGTAGTAGAGACTTTGGCAACAAAAGAATATGTCAGTTATAAAGGCACCCATGTAATATCTATATATTTATACACATGCACACACATATGCATAAGGGTCTTCAAAAAGTTCATGGAAATGCATAATAAGAAAAACTATGCACAAATTTCATAATTTTTGTGCCAAAAAACTTCAATTTTTCCATAAACTTTTTAGTCTCATGTATGAGTTTATATACATGTGCATATATATACATATGTATGTGTGTATGTATATATGTATATATATCTCTAGGCTATGAGGCATATAATTTAAATCAACACTATTGATAGAGGGCAGCAGTCCATTATCCCCTAGGAATTATATAGTTAGATAAAATCTTTACTATCTCAAAATACCAAATGAGAAGGACATATTTGCTAAGCATAAGGCCACACAGACCAACTAATGCACCAAATTCATAGATGTGTATGAAAATTATATCAATTCAGAGTGTTGTCATGACTTTAAGCTCATGTAAATTATAGTGATCTACCATTAAATTAAGAATTTAGGGGAAAAATTATTTACTATTTAATTTACGAAATGTATGTTACATCACTGAACTCCCATATGACCAACCACGTTTTGAGTCCTGGACCCAGTGGCTCGAAGATCACAATGGGTGCTTGTGCATGTGCATGCTCAAGATCCCGGGAGGAGAATGGAGGAGAAAAGATTGTGACTTAGACATCCCTCCTGGTGGGGGGTGGGGAGGGTGATTTCTCACTTTCAGTCTCACTGTCTCTGTCTCTGTCTCTCTTTCTGGCAAGTGCATGTACCCTAAAGCAAAACCTCTTAAAAAAAAAAAAAAAGCTTCCAAACCATGGGATCCTTTGGCACAAAATTAGATTCAAAGGAAAGTCTGACACTGGGCCAATACATTCCAGTAAGGTCACGCTTGTTAATTACATATTTATGAGCTGGTCTATTGTTATTGGCCAGTTCCTTGCTCTTGTTGTCAGGATCTACACAGATACACAGACCCTGGTCTGTGTTATACAGACCCTGACATGTAGATTAAATATTTTGAATAGTATCCTGATCAAAAGCGTGCTTTGTGATAAATATTCAATAAGAACATGACTTTCAAACATCAGACCTTACAAAGATAGTATACTGTTTACAACTTCTCTTTTCTTTAGGATTTACCTTAAGGAAATTATAAGAGCCTGGGCTTTCTTTCCCTTCACATCCCTTTTATTTTAGAGAATATTTCTGAAATTAATCAGATCAAGCTATATACCTGCTCAACCTTGCTGTTCACAAAATAGAATAAAACAAAAATAGTTACAGCCAACTGGGGATGGTGGTTAAGACAGCTGGATCCCACAGCCTGCACGCAAAGTTTGAACCTTGGACCCGGCTGCTTGAACAGCATACCAGGCGAGTGTGCATACATGCCCAAAATCCATAAAGGAGGGAATAACAGAGAAAAGATTATAGAGTGATCATCTCTCATGGGGAGGGGAATGCTTTCTCACTTTTCCTCTTTTTCTCTGTCTCTCTCCAGTGAGTATATGTGCCCTGTAACAAAACCGGGGCGGGGGGTGGGGTGGAATTCGAGTTCTTATCTGCCTTCATTCTCTAAAATGTCATATATGTTTTTCAGGTCTTTCTTTGAGATTTAACATACTATACTTAGATTATAGTTCATTGTATATGTCTGTTTTTTCCACTAATACCTAATTTTCTCTAATTTGCTTAAGAACAAGGGTCATCATTTAGCCTTAAATTTATACTTCATGTTCTACATATAAAATTTTTTGATAATTTTTTTCTAACAAAAGAAAAAGTGTAAAGCAGTAGGTATTGAACAAATGAGTTAATGTTGTTCTTCAGAGAAGAAAACTCAAATATTATGAGCCATGACCTCATATTCCAAAATGCTACAGTCCTCCCTAACTGCTGATCTGAGAAATTCTGAGGACACAATAGCTTTTAAAAATATGTACGTCACATGCTTAAAGAAGTAATGCGTAATTATTGGGGGGCAGTGTTCCCCTTATTTGTGTCATTTTATTCATAAATATGTGAACAGCCTTGGAAGGAATGAGTCTTTAATACAAATGAGATGATTTCTGAGGAACTGGAAAGTGGGGGAAGTTTTGGTAGAAGTAGGTGTGAGATAACTCTATAGTATGGAACAGGGAAAAGTAGGCAGAACTGTAAGAGAAATTTGACCTTTTTCTTTTAAGAGATTTTTGCTATAGGGCCCATGAGCTCTCTATAGAGACAGAGAGAGACAGAGACAGAAAGCATAAAATCACCCCCATTGGAGGATGACCACGCCACAATCCCTTCTCTTCCATTCTCCTCTTGGGATTTTGGGCACTCACACACATGCACCTGGAGTGAGTTTTAAGCCACGGAGTCTGGAACTCAAACCATAGTTGACTATGTGAGAGTCCAGCAACATAACCACTACGCCATCTGTTGGTCGCAAAACTTGGCCATTTTGAAAATTTAGCCAGAGGGCATGTGCATTCAGGAAAGAGAGAGAGAGAGAGAGAGAACAAGAAAGAGAAAGCACCTCCATGGAGGATAGTCATGCCACAGTCCCTTTTCCATTTCTCCCTCCTTTCAGGATTTTGTACAAACAGGCACATATATCTGCATGTTTTTTCAAGGTGCCATCTGGGACTTGAACAGCACAGTCAGTCATGTGGAATTCAGCCACCTTAACCATCCATAGGAATCTTAGGCAGCTGTAAGAAGGGTCACAAGGGTTCCAGTGACAGACTACTTGGATTCAAGTCCTGCTCTGCTGCTTTAAAGACTATGGACTGAATTTAATTTTGTCCTTCTAAAGTTCATATGTTAAGTCCCTAACTTTCAGTGCAATTGAATTTGGAGACAAAGACCTAATATGGAAGTAATTGAGGTTAAATGAGGTCACACAGGTATGACCCTGACCTGATAGAATTATACCCCTTATAAAAAGGGACACTAGTCCTAGCCTAGTGGCACAATAAGTAGTAAGCTAAACTGCAGTGCTGAAAGCCATATGGCTGACCACAGGTCCAGATTCCCAGGCTGGCCTAAAAATATGATGGACACGTGACAATGTAGGCCTGCAACATGCATGTGCATATGCCTGAGATCCTAAAATCTGGAGGACTGGGAAAAAGTATTGCAGTTGATGAGATCCTGTCAATCTCCTCTCTCTCTTTCTCTCTCGTGCATGTACATGCACTCTCTATTTTGAATAAAAGTGTTTTTTTTTAAGAGAAATTTTTGCTACAGGATACATGCATTCGCCAGAGAGATAGAGAAACAGGAGGCAAGAAATCACCCCCCAGGTGGCAGATGGCCATGCTATAATTCCTTCTCCTCCATTCTCCTCTTGGAATTTGGGGCACACATGCACATGCGCCCAATGTGAGTTTTAAGCCACTGGGTCCAGGACTTAAACCACAGTCAACTATGTGGGAGTTCAGTGACATAACCATTACACCATTGCCGGTCCCAAAAGTTAAAAAAAAATATATAAATAAATCTAATTTATGTTGTAACGAGCCAACAGAAATTATAAAATAAAGAGGAGATTCCAAAGATCTTTCTGCCACGTGGGGGACATAGCAAGAAAGTGGCCATCTACAAGCCAGGAAAAGAGCTTTCACCAGGGATGAAACTGACCAGTATCTTGTTCTTGGACTTCCCAGCCTTCAGAACTATGAGAAAATACATTACGAAATTTGTTACGGTAGGGCATCTCTTACGGCAGCTTGAGCTGATTAATACAATATTTAAAGTTCAGTTTTTGCTTACCTAAAATAAAAACGTACACAGATGAAAAGAAAGATTCGCAAATGTTAATTACTATTGAAACTGGAACTAGGCACCTGGGAGTTAATTACACTATCCTCTTGCTTTTGTATATATCTAAAGTTTCCATAATACAAAATTTAAATATGTTTTAAAAATGTGATTTCCTCTGTGCCCTTCTGATTTTAAATTAATCGTTGAGTTTTTCTTTGTTTATTTTATTTTGGCCGTTTGCCTTTATTTGCACAAGAAGCCTTTATTTGACTTCCTGGAATATTATAGGATTTGTTTTGTTCTGTTTTTTGGCTTGCTTAATTGTTTTATTTTGGCCTTTTGCCTTTATTTGCACAGGAAATCTTTATTTGGCTCCCAGAATTGATTTAGAAGATGGGGGTTAAAAATCACAAGGACAACCTTTGAATATTGTACATTTGAATTTATATGTGATAAATTTAACTTAGTAAGATCACTGTCATATGTGAGGGCCTACTAACTATGACAACCGCTCTACCCTACTAGTCACCTTAATTGACTGACTGGGCTGAGCAGGATAGATCTCATCTTCCCCCAAACACTCAGAATGAGCTACTGAGATTCTGAACATCTTTCCCCA